CTCTCCAAGAGGGAGCCCACATGATGGAATTAAGTTAGACAAGTTTGGATTTGGAGGGGACATAGGAAAGTATTGGTTTGGAAATGGGGTGGTTGATGAGTGGAACAGTCTACCTGGTTGGGTTGTTGAGGCTAGGACTTTGGGTAGTTTCAAATATGGGTTGGATAAATGTATGAGTGAGAAGGGTTGTATTTGAGTGGGACTTGCAAATGAGTGGATCGAGTTACCAGACCTTATTTCTTGGGTAGCATTGAAAATTGGGTTGGGCAAATGTTTTGTTAGTGGGATGGATTGTAGAGGACCTGCCTAGTATGGGCCAACAGGCCTGCTGCAATGTTCCACCTTTCTTATGTTCTTGTTAGACGAAAAATGAGGGGAGACACGATCAAAGTGTATAAGTGGAGGATGGGTATTAATAAAGGGGATATTAGTAAGGTCTTGAGGATATCTCTCCAAGAGAGAACCCGCAGTAATGGATTTAAATTAGACAAGTTTAGATTTAGAAAGGACATAGGAAAGTATTGGTTTGGAAATAGGGTAGTTGATGAATAGAACAGTCTACCTAGTTGGGTTATTGAGGCTAGGACTTTGGGTAGTTTCAAATTTAGGTTTGATAAATATATGAGAGGGGTTGGATTTGAGTGGGACTTACAAATGAGTGGATAGAGTTATCAGAACTTATTTCTTGGGTAGCATTGAAAATTGGGTTGGATAAATGTTTTGTTGGTGGGATGGATTGTAAAGGACCTGCCTAGTGTGGGCCAGCGGGCCTGTTGCAGTGATCCTCCTTTCTTATGTTCTTATGTTCTTAACTTTCACTCTGACCACAACTGTTTATAAATGGTTACTTACAGTAAATAATATACTTAATATAGTTAAAGACATGCAGTGAACTGATGAATGGTTCAGAGAACCGACATGTTGATAAATTATGTTCTTATGTTCTTACATGTGCAACTCTTGGGTATCTTTATTGAAGAAACGTTTCGCCACACAGTGGCTTCATCAGTCCATACAAAGGAGAATCTTGAAGAACAGGAGGAGAATGAGGTAATCAGTCCCTCAACCTTGAGTCGATGTGGTCAGTCCATCAATCTTGAATAGAATACTGCATACATGCGGAGAAGGAGCTTATAAACCGTTGGCAGGAGAGGTGCAGCAGTCATAGGTGGTGTCACATTTGTTCACTGTGGAAGTAGGTCATGCCCAAGAATTAGGCAAGCGAAGAATTCCCAAGTATTAAGATCCCAAGAAGTTGCAGTGTCTGACAGGTTTGTAGATGAATGGTTCAGAGAACCGACATGTTGATAAATTAGACACATGTTGATAAATTAGACACATGTGCAACATGTGTCTAATTTATCAACAGGTCGGTTCTCTGAACCATTCATCTACAAACCTGTCAGACACTGCAACTTCTTGGGATCTTAATACTTGGGAATTCTTCGCTTGCCTAATTCTTGGGCACGACCTACTTCCACATTGAACAAATGTGACACCACCTATGACTGCTGCACCTCTCCTGCCAACGGTTTATAAGCTCCTTCTCTGCACGTATGCCGTATTCTATTCAAGATTGATGGACTGACCACATCGACTCAAGGTTGAGGGACTGATTACCTCATTCTCCTCCTGTTCTTCAAGATTCTCCTTTGTATGGGCTGATGAAGCCACTGTATGGCGAAACTTTTCCTCAATATAGATACCCAAGAGTTGCACATGTGTCTAATTTATCATCATGCAGTGAACTGTTGATTTAATGAATAGGGAAGAGAGGGTGTTTGTTAAATCAAATTGTTCATCGACTCCAAATTAGGACTTAATTCGTTGGATCTGGAGAGCACCAGACACCTTCCACTTAATGGCTAGAAGCAGTGATTTGGTGCATTGATTGTAGATGGAGGCAGTGATTTCATGCATTATCCTGAGAGGAAGAGCCAGATGTGTGTGAGGAGGTGTGTGTAACAATAAAATGGACAAGGGGTAAAGCGACTGGGATTGATGGAATGAAGAGAGAAATGCTAAAAGCAGGTGAGGGTATAGTTTTGGAGTGCTTGGTGCTTTTGTTCAATAAATATGTGAAAGGAGAAAGGTACCTAGGGATTGGAAAAGAGCATGCATTGTTCCTTTGTATAAAAGAGGTGACAAAAGAGTGTAAGAATTATGGTGGAATAAGCCTGGTGAGTATACCAGGTAGCTTATTGTAGAATTATTAGTGAAAGAATTAAGGGTAAGACAGAGAGCAGGACTGCAGATGAGCTAGGAGGTTTTAGGAAGGGTAAGAATATATAGGTCAAGTATTTACAATGAAGCATATAAGTGAACAATATTTAGATAATGGTAAGGAAATTTTTGAATTTTATGAATTTTATGAAATTTATGAATTTAGAAAGGGCATGTGATAGGGTGGATAGGGGAGCAATATGGCAGATGTTGCAAGTTGAAACTAATAAGTATGGTGAAGCTATCTTGCTTATACGCTTGTACATTTTACATTAGACTCAAGAGTGTTTCTGTGAATTGCTACAGATCCTTTTAACCTTTGGATTGTTTTGGTCGTATATATACGTATTACGAGCCACCGGTTTTGACGTATATATACTCATAAATTCTAGCAGCTTCAAATCAAGCAGGTGAAAACTGGTAGGCCCACATGTGAGAGAATGGGTCTGTGTGGTCAGTGTGCACCAAATAAAAAAAATCCTGCAGCACGCAGTGCATGATGAAAAAAAAACTCCTGCCGTTTTTTTTTTTAATTAAAATGCCGTCTTTGTGGTCTATTTTTGTATAGTATTTATGGTTGTATTCTCGTTTTCTTGGTCTCATTTCATAGAATGGAAAACATTATAGAAATAGAGGTGATTTTGATTAGTTTTACTATGAAAAGTACCTTGAAATGGAGCTCAAAGTAGGGGAAATATCTGATTTTTGCCGATGTTCAAAAGTAAACAAATGATGTCATTGTCCAATAAATGTCCAAGTAGCCATTCTAATATGCAGTCATGAATGGGTTGACATTATTTATACAATTATTACAATATTGCAGTAGTCTGCATAACAGTAAATCTTCTATTTTTTGTTTGAATAAAAATTCAAAATAGAAACCAAGAGTAATATCGAAGATGACTGGAGACATGACTAATGAACAAAGAAAATGTTATATTAGAGCCAGGAATGCCTGCATTGTTCATTCTGAATCCTGTTTTGAAATTGTCATATTTTTTAGTTTTCATAAAATTGGCCAAATTGCAAATTTCTGACCACGTTATTGGGTAGTTGAATCAGTAAATGGGAAGTTTCTTGTACTCAATCAATAGAAAAAATGGAGTTCTAAAGAAATAGCTATGAGTTTGGTCGACTGAAACAATGGAATTAGCCGAAAATAGGGCTCAAAATGGGTGAAATCACTAATTCGTATATATCGCCGAGGTCACTAAATTCACGAGAGCGTAATTCCATCAGTTTTCCATCAAATTTTGTTCTTTTAGTGTCACTACAATCAGGAAAAGATTCTCTATCATTTCATAAGAAAAAAAATTATTATATTTTGTTTATTTTTTTGAAAATTTTGCGACACCAGGAGACACCTTAGGATTTGGGGTTGCGACAGTCAAGGGGTTAAACTGACTTGAGTCTCATGTTGTATGTAGCTCCTAGATTGTTCAGTAGGCTGACAGTGTCTGTTAAGAGTCAAGCCTCATTTGACAGCACAACTCTTTCTAAAGTGTATGAGTCTGATATCATACTATCACTCTTGAATATAAACTAGTATTTCTTCATTGTTGTTGCTTTCAAGAATAGCAGATTCCAAAGTTGGTACAGTGCAACCCTGAGTTTTGGCTGCCCTGAGTATTGGCCGCCTTGAGTTTTGACCACTTTTTTTTGGCTAAATTTCGCCCCGAGTTTCGGCCTGTGCCCTGTGTTTTGGCCAGCGTACAAGACCTGACCACCTGGCCATGCCTGTGCACCTGCCCGCACAGGCATCGTTAGCCAGTCTAGCTTTGTTTATCCTTGAGTGAACATTACCCTGCATGCTCATCCAAACATTTCACAATAAATTCATTATGTTTAGTGCTTGTTTATTGATTATGTCTGTGAAATAAGCAGCAGCCTTTTGGTAAAGAATGTGAGAAACACCATTGAAGTGAAGAAGGAGATAGTACAAAAATACGAGAGTGGTGTACGTGTGGGCGAGCTTGCCAGGATGAACAGCAAAAACAAATCAACAATCACTTCTGTCCTGGCGAAGAGAAAAGTAACCTCAAGCTTGTCCTAGTGGCATTAAAAGACAAAGAAGGGAAGTAACCCCAGATAAGGACTTGTTACCTAAAGTCTTAATGGAAGGGGATTTCCCTTTCAAGCAATAAGTCCTCCCTCTCTCTTCCTCCCTATCTTCCAGATGCCAGCAAGAATCTTTAATAAAGGTATGTAAATGTGATATTTAAATGTTTATTTATGTATTTTATTACTCATTTAAGTACTCTATGTATGTTTAAGTACTATATGTATGTTAAAGTATAGTTATTCTTTAAAAAATGTATTTATTGTGAATATTTTTGTGGGTCTGGAATGGATTAATTGTATTTACAATATTTCTTATGGGAAATATTGCTTCGACTTTAAGCCGTTTCAAGTTTAGGTCTAGCTCCTGGAATGGATTATGTCCAAAACTCGGGATTCCACTGTATTAGTATTTTTATTGTTAACTCACCAGCCATCTCCCACTGAGGTAGAAAAAACACTTTCATCATCACACACTCATTTATTGCTCTCTTGCCAGAGGCATGCTGCCATTACATCTCAGATGTCCCTCCAAACTGCAGTATCCCTATTCCTCCTTCAGAGTACAGGCACTGTATTTTCCACCTCCAGGTTTTGCATGAATCACTTCATAAATGTTACCTTCCTTACACTCCAACAGCATGTCAAGTCCTAAAACCACTTCATTATTATTATTATTATTATCTTGGCAATTTTTGGTGCAACTCTTTCATTTACAGATTTGTGACTACATAGTGCAGTGTGTTGAATCAGAAGATGAGAAATGGTGTGCCGACTGTAATTTTTCAGAGGATACATGTGGCTGGCACAACATAGATTCTTCTCAGGATAATACTCATCTGTGGTGGCAGAGACTTCAAGATGGTAAGGCAAATATCCCTTACATCATACTGATATTCATTAGAAACTTCATCTTTGTCAAGCTGCTCATATATTCAAGGTCATCCTATATTCAAGGTCACTTGAATATAAGGTCACAGCATTTGAGGATTGTTTAGACAGGATAATATAATTAAAGAAAATTTTGTTGTAGTTGGTATGTGTTAACATCTTTTGTTTCCATTTCTAGACTTTTGCTTTTGAAATCTTAAAATATATGTATTCATTTCTTTTTTAGCCACTGTGACCCAATATGACCCACATTTCTATCATATGGAGGTGCAAGAGAAAGAGGGTCCTGTAATCAACCAGCCTCGCATGCTAACTAACCTTTTACAACCGACACATCATTCTTGTGTCTTAAAAATGGACTATGAACTCTTTGCTTCTGTGGCACCTGGTAAGGGTTTGTGTATGCCTCAAAACATTGAAAAGTATCTGTTAGCAGTTCTCAGAAAGAAATTGTATAATTTTTCATGGTGCATTAACCCTTAAACTGTCCAAATGTAGATCTACATTTTCACTACCAGTGCTGCAAATACAGTGGACCCCCGGTTTTCGTCTTTAATCCGTTCTAGAAGGTCGGCTGAAAACTGATTTGTACGAAAACTGAAGTAATACACATACCATCCGACTTACGATCTGCTCGACATACGACCATTTGACTTACGACCGTGTTTTCTATGCCAAATTTCTGGGAAATAAACAACTGTTTGTGTTGTACACAGTGTTTATCCTAAACCTTACAGTATAAAATACAGTACTAACAGCATAAAAAGTAAAGCAAAAAATAAAATACCAAAATAAAACAATAAAATAAAGTCATTACAAAAATGTTATATTGATATTCAGTAGTAAGGTTCGACTTACATCCATTTCAGCTTATGACCAGTTTGTCGGAACCGAACTCGGTTGTAAGTCGGATGGTACCTGTATTTCCCATAAGAAATAATGTAAATCCAATTAATCTGTTCCAGATACCCAAAAAAATATTAACAAAAAATACATTTTATAGAGAATAACTAGTTTTACATACAGAAAATAATGAGAAATAAATATAAAGCACTAATGAAATGGATAAATGAACATTTAAATCACTTTTACCTTTACTGAAGACTCTTGTTGGCATATGGAAGACAGCGAGGAGAGGAGAGGTTATCTCTACTACCATCACTACCACTCTCTACCACAATCACTACCACCCTCTACCACCATCACTACCACCCTCTGCTGCCACCACCACTACCAGCCTCTACCACCATCACTACCACCCTCTACCACCATCATTACCAACCTCTACCACCATCACTACCATCCTCTACCACCATCACTACCACCCACTACCACCATCACTACCACCCTCTACCACCATCACTACTGCCCTCTACCACCATCACTACCAGCCTCTACCACCATCACTACCACTGTCTACCACCATCATCACCACCCTCTACCACCATCACTACCACCCTCTACCACCATCTCTACGAGTAACAAAGGCAGACTGAGCCATGAATGTATGAGTGGCTGCGTCCCATGGGCATGCGAGCGCATCTGGTGTGGACGATTTCTGAGCAGATGTACGAAAAGGGGGAAAATTTCACTGAAAGAAATGGTTGAAAACTGAATTGTACAATATCCAGACCTGATGAAAACTGGGGTTCCATTGTATTTTTTTTAATTAAAGAGAGCAATTTTCTGGGTGCAATAAAACCCCCCAAAATTTTTTTTAGGGTCAGTACTTGCCGAGATATAAGGCTGCAAAGTTGGCACTAGATGCTCACCTGAGGGCACCATGGAATCCTGCTGCTTCCAGAAGTGCTGCTGACATAAATTTTTTCTCCTTTTTATTTTAATTTATTTAATTTTTATGTTCTGATAATTACAATTTGTAGTAGTTCTTGTGACACTAATATTAGGTACTGAAATAGCACTCAGAGAGTCACAAATACACTGACAGGTGAACATTTTCACCTGTCATTGTTTTAGTCATGCAATGTTTTAGATATGCTGGAGTATATATGAAAGTCCTTGAAGCACGGTGTAAGACGAGTGTCACTCCACTGCTGAAAGTGCGGCAGTGGAGTGACACTTGATGATTGAGCACTACTCCATTCAACCTTGGCTTTATTTATTTTTACTGTTGCACATTAACATGACTGTCTGTCTGTCTGTCTGTCTGGTCTGTGTATCTGTATGTCTGTCTATATTATCTGTCTGTTTATCTGTCTTTCTGTCTGCATGTGTGTGTCTCTTTCTCTCTGCCTGTGTGTTTCTGTCTCTGCTTGTCTCTCTGTCTCATGAACTGCTCATAACCAACTGGTATTATACACAGTACAGAGTCATCACTTCTGATTCCTGTACAAGTGAAAATGTGTAGTAGCTTGGCAGTCATGCTTATTATGCCTTAGATCTACAAGCACAGTATAACACTTTGTCTGCATTTTTTGGGTTATCCTAGGTAATTTACACTGTGTATGATAACTGTTATATGTGTACCTGTGAGACAGAAATAGAGATAAACAGAGACAGATACAGACAGAGAGATAGCCAAAGTCAATCAGCCAGCCACCCACCCACCCACCCAACCAACCAGCCGGCCACCCAGCTTGCCAAATACGTATTACACATGTTCCAGAATCATTTCTCTTTACTTAGGGCATGGATTATAGGACATTTTGGTAAGATGACACTACCAGTGGTATCAAAAGTGAAGGGATGTCGCACAAATATTGCACATGGGTTATTATCAAAGTTTTAATTTTATATATCCTCAACCAATTGTGGCCACATACATCTCAAAGCCACTAAACTCTTGATCAACATCACTTTCCTCTTAAAAGGGGAGTGTTAATATGACATGACATGAGTGAATCCCTGGTGTTTGCCACGCTGTTTGCTCTAGCTGGCTCTCTATTGAACTGGTGCTCCCAAAAGGTACTAAGTGGTCCCAGATTTTTTAATACTGCACACACCAACTGTTAAGACCCATTCTATACTGACCAAGCATCTCAGGCCAATTGTGCCAAATTTGGAGACAGGAAAAATAAAATGTTGATATACGTTTGGAGCGCTAGCAGTAACAACTTAGATCAATGTTTGGAACAGTTTAAGGGTTAAGACAGTGTAAAACCAGGAATTCTTGATAGCTCAGGAATGGCTTCAGTGTTATTGAAAGTTTTATGCAGAAAGTATAAAAAGCAGATGGCAGAATGCTTGTTTGAAATAAAAAAAAATATGTATGCACTGTAGTGTACATCAACTTTGTTTTATACATTATTTCATTCTGGCAATATTCAGCAGAATTTTTTTTGTCATCAAACAAGAAAGCATATGGTAAAATATTATTTGCATTGAAAATTAGTTTCTAATTTCTAGGAACATTTTTTTTGTAAAGAATATTACTAAAAAAAAAGGTTAAAAGTTCTTTGTATGTATAGAATTATTATATCATAATTTGTATAATTCTAAAATACAGTTTCTATATCTTTTTTCGTTTTCTTTTCATAGGTCCAAAACTGAGTGTTTATTTAGATCGTGTTGGTTCAGATCTGACTATGCTGTATGAAGCCCAAAGTCACTTGAAGGAGTGGCAGACCTTACAGCTTCCTCTTGGACGTGTTTCCTCATCATACCACCTTCTGGTTGAGGCATCCAGCTCAAATGATCCATCACAGATAATAGCCTTTGATGAGCTAGAGCTGTTGAACTGTTATCCTCCTGAGATGTGTTATGATTTGCCAGAAGGATACCAGTGGTGTGATAACAAAGCATGTTTCCCAAATGATGCATTGTGTGACTTTACTGATGATTGTGGTGACTATTCTGATGAGGCCAGTTGTGGTATGTGATGGAAAAATTGACCACAAGTTTTATGTTGTTCTTTAATTTTATTATGTTATTAATAGTTATTATATGAAGTTTTTTTTTTTTCAACACTTAAGCTGTCTCCAACCAAAGCAAGGTGACCCAAGAAAGAAACACTTTCACCATCATTCACACATAATCACTGTCTTTACAGAGATGCTCAGATACGACAGTTTAAATGTCATTCCAAACAGCCAATATCCCAAACTCCTACTTTAAAGTTCAGGCATTGTACTTCCCACCTCCAGGACTCAAGTCTGGCTAACCAGTTTCCCTGAATCTCTTCACAAAATATTACCCTGCTCACACTCCAACAGCTTGTCAGGTCCCAAAAACTTTTCATCCCCATTCACTCCTATCTAACATGCTCACATATGCCTGCTGCATGTCCAAGCCCCTTGCACACAGAACCTCTTTTACCCTCTCCATCCTTTTCTAGGACAACCCCTACCCCTCCTCCCATCCACTGCAGGTTTATACACCCTCCGAGTCATCCTGTTTTGCTCTATCCTAACTCCACACTTCCTGATTTAAACACTACAGATTATCTGCATAATATTTTCACCACACATTGCTCTTAGACACAACACATCCACTGCCTCCAGCCTCCTCCTCGCTGCAGCTTTCACAACCCATGCTTCACACCCATATAAGAGTGTTGGTACCACTATACTATTATACATTCCCTTCTTTGCCTCCATGGAAAACATTTTTTGTCTCCACAGGTACCTCAATGCACTTCTCACCTTTTTTCCTTCGTCAGTTCTATGGTTAACCTCGTCCTTCATAAATCCATCTACTGACAGATCTACTCCCAAATATCAGAACACATTCACTTCTTCCACACTCCCTCCCTCCAATGTGATATCCAGTTTTTCCTTACCTAACTCATTTGATACCTTCATCACCTTAGTCCCATCTATGTTCACTTTCAACTTTCTTCCTTTACACATCTCCCCAAACTCGTCCACTAACCTTTGCAACTTCTCTCTAGAATTTCCCAAAAGCACAATATCACCAGCAGAAAGTAACTGTGTTAACTCCCATTTTGTATTTTATTTGCTATAATTTAATCCCACACCTCTCCCCATCACCCTAGCATTTACTTCTTTTATAACCTTATCTCTAAATATGTTAAACAACCGCATGGTGATATTACACATCCCTGTCTAAGGCCTACTTTTACCGAAAAGTAATTTCCCTCTCTCCTATGCACCCTAACCTGAGCCTCACTGTCCTAATAAAAACTCTGTTCAGCATTTAGGAACTTACTGCGTATTCCATACACTTATATAAAGTGTTTACTGTAAATTTAAGTAAATTAATTCAGTCACTAATCCATTGGTAATAATAGTCATCATTTGGAGGGGTGTTAATGTTGCAGTTTAAAAACTGTAGTGTAAAACACCCTTCTGGCAAGACAGTGATGGAGTGAATGATGGTGAAAGTTTTTCTTTTTCGGGCCACCCTGCCTTGGTGGGAATCGAAAGGGTTGGAGAGAGGGGGTAAAGGAGGTTTTGTGGGCAAGGGGTTTGGACTTCCAGCAAGCGTGCGTGAGCGTGTTAGATAGGAGTGAATGGAGACGAATGGTACTTGGGACCTGACGATCTGTTGGAGTGTGAGCAGGGTAATATTTAGTGAAGGGATTCAGGGAAACCGGTTATTTTCATATAGTCGGACTTGAGTCCTGGAAATGGGAAGTACAATGCCTGCACTTTAAAGGAGGGGTTTGGGATATTGGCAGTTTGGAGGGATATGTTGTGTGTCTTTATATGTGTATGCTTCTGGACTGTTGTATTCTGAGCACCTCTGCAAAAACAGTGATAATGTGCGAGTGTGGTGAAAGTGTTGAATGATGATGAAAGTATTTTCTTTTTGGGGATTTTCTTTCTTTTTTTTTTTTTTGGGTCACCCTGCCTCGGTGGGAAACGGCCGACTTGTTGAAAAAAAAAAAAAAAATTTGCTATAACCAAACTTATAATTATGAAAACTATATTTTTTATTTTTTTTATGCCTTTTAACATATTCTAAACATATACACCTACCATCCGACTTATGACCTGCTCGACTTACGACCACTCGACTTATGGTCGTGTTTTTTATGCCAAATTTCTGGGAAAAAAATAACTATTTGTGTTGTACACAGTGTTTATCCTAAACCTTACAGTATAAAATACAGTACTAACAGCATAAAAAGTAAAGTAAAACATGAAATACCAAAATAAAATAATAAAATAAAGTCATTACAAAAATGTGATGTTGATATTCAGTAGTAAAGTTCGACTTACGACCGGTTTCTTGGAACCGAACTCGGTCATAAGTCGGATGGTAGGTGTATATATTTTACTTAAATAGTTGTTATTTTAAACTTGGCCTTATTTAGCATCAAAATTGAAAACCTTTCTACTTATTATTGTACTACATAACCTTCTGAATTTTTATGAATGCATCTCCACTGAAGTATATATTTGACCATGAATGTTAAACTGTTTTTATTAATTTTTTTTTAATTATGACAGAAAATTATCCTCTACGGTGTAGCTTTGAAAATCAGAGTCTTTGTGGCTGGACAGCTTCAGAGTTCTTTAACTTGACCCAAGCACGGATGAACAGTATGGCGCCCTTCAGAGACCATACTGTCAACAGTGGGGATGGTCATATCATGTTGCTTGCTTCGCGTTCTCCCCGCCATGCTATCATCACCAGCCCACTTATTGCACTCTCTGATAACTGTCAAGTATGTAATTTGATGAGATGTTTTAGTTATCATTTGTCAGTTACTGTATTTTAATAAAGCTAAAATCCATGCATTCATTTTCTGTTATGTACAGTGTTAAGAATTCCCTGATTTTTTGGAAAAAAGAGTCTTTGACCTATTTTATAAATATTTCCAGATTCGCTTGTACCATGCTGTTTCTGGGGCAGGATCGACCTACTTAAGAGTGCGTTTGCGATCATTTAAAAATGAAGCCATAATTTCAGAGGAGACTATTCAGTCACATGAGGAAGGAACATTTTATTGGCAACACTTCTCACAATCATATTCTGTTAATGAAATTTACTATGTAAGTACAAATGATAAGTATAGTATTCTTATCAGGGATATGAAAGAACTGTGCTACTTTAAGCACATACACACACACTCACGCAATGATTTTTCATGAAATTTTGTAAAGTAGAGGAGTACAATGGTGTAGCAAAGCAAAAGTTTTAGAGAATTGTCTTAGATTAAGATTAATTCAAAGGAGAACTGAAAAAAGAAGTGAAAGTGTGAATTAACAAGCAACAAGATAGTGAGAGTTTAGTGGTCACTTCATATGTGTGAGAGACTATGTTATTGAGTTTAAGTGAAGAAACTGATTGAAATGTGAGAAAACTTCAGAAATTATAAGAGGACAAAAATAAAGTAAAAATTTAAATATGCTGTTTTCAAATTCAAATTCAAAGTTTATTCTCTATAAGGATTACAATGCTGAGTTTACAGAATTTGGTTATTGTGTGGTTTACATGTAGTAAAATAATAATTACAGAGTGTACCACTAGAACACCTAGCATGGCTAGGCATTTCGGGCAGACTTAAATTAAATCTTAAGTTTAAAATATTACAAAATTATGAGGTAAGTTGGTATTATGGCTAAGTGACTAAATACTAGTTTGTGAGTTTAGCAATGTGAATGCTTTTGTTTTGGCACTATATATAGTTTCAGTATTGGAGTATCACAGGCCAACTTATGACTAGTTAAGATTCATTATTTTGAGATTGAGATTGTAATTTCTGTTTATGGTCAAATGGGTGAGTGAGTGTAAGTGTTAACCACCAGGTGATATTCGTGTAATTAGTTGACAGGGTGTATCAGGGAGATAAGATGTTTTCTGATGGTAGTTTTGAAGGTGATGAATGTGTCTGCAGTTTTAGAATTTTCAGGTAGGGTGTTCCAGATTTTAGGGCCTTTGGAAATATCTTGCAACTCACTCAGCTGAAGAGCTAGTGAACCTTCCAATGGTAACCGGAGGACCCCACTTTACAGCATTTTTCTAATGAGCCAGTTTTCAATTATACCCGTTCTTCATTTATTCAGACTTCCTACATTCACTACTCACTGTATGCCAAGGATGAAAATATTTTCAGGTAAGTAATGTGTGTACGGTAGGATGTTTTATGACTAGTTTTATTGCTCACTTAATATGATAGTGTAAACATGTTATCAGGCTTTTATATGCATTTGAAAGTGAAAAAAGACTATGATTCACTCTACAGTGATTTTTGCCTTACAGCAGTAGCTCGGAACCTAACCCTCTGTATGAGTGGGGGCCCTCCTGTATATATAAGGATAGGGTGGTAGGGGAAGTGGAATATTCATATAGCTTCAGGAAGAAATCCAAACATTTTTCCTCAAAGCCTTTTTCCACTTCACCGAGGCTATGGGTCCCACAATTTCATTTTTCCTATTTTGGGGGTCTTGCCTTCATATTTTGCTGGCGTAGCATATCTATTGGGACACAAAATGTATATACTGTACCTTGCTGGCTTGGTACAGTGGTACCTTCATATTTGAACTTAATCCATTCCAGGAGGCTGTTTGGATAGTTATACGAATGTTGAATCAATCTTTTTCCATTAGAAATTGCATAAATTGGATTAATCTGTTCCCACCCAAAAAGTTACCAATTATAAAACATTTTAAATGAAAATAATTCTTATTTAAACCTGTATAATAATATTTGCATGCTTGGAATCATACATAAAAACTATTAAAACAATAAATACATGAAATAAATGGAAATTTAAATGCACTTTACCTTTACTGAGGAGTGATGATGGCCTAAGAGGAAGCTGGAGAAATGTTGTTATTTGGGAGGGTGTCACCTTCCATAAAACAGGTAACTGCTTGTCTGGTGTTTTTTTCTTTTCTGTTTTTGTGCAGTAGCACTTGAAGATGATGGAGACTCACTAGCATTTGATTTTTTTCTTTGCTAGAAAAGCTGTCCAATGTTGTCTGCTTTGACGTGTTTTCAAAATTTTTCTGAAGTGATCAACAACATTATAATTAAACAGGTTGATGCTCCTATTCACAGTAGCGATATTAGGATGCCATTTTCCACCAGCTCTGTGTTTGAGCTTGATGGTAACTCAGTTCCTTAATTTCTGCAGTGGAAATGTTGACCTTACTGCTTCCCTCCTCCTCCTCTTCCTCCTCTGAAGAAATTTTCTCAACCACTTCTTTACGCTGCTCCTTGTGCAGGTCTTGAAGTTCTTCTGTGGTGAGCTCATTCTTGTGATTCTCCACCAACTCCTCTATATCTTCATCATCCATATCCAAACCCATGGACTGGCCCAGAGAAACAATATCCTTCACTACATGCTCTGCCTTGAAACCTTCAAAATCTCTGACTGACAGTCTGGTCACAGTTTCTTCCAGGCAGAGTTCATTGTCCTGAAAGGAACTTTCTCCCAGTTTTTGTCTATTATCCTTAAACATTGGGGAATATTAAAATGGTTTTTCCAAATTCCCTAGGGTTAAGCTCTGTGTCAGTGGTCACTTCAAACACCTTTTAAACAGTGCTTTTATGTAACATTTATTAACCCTTTAAGTGTTGGTCCCTTAGTACCCTTGCTTTGAAGCCAGGGTCGGTTTCTTAGTACTATGCCAAAATTCTAGCAGCTTCAGATTTGGTGGGAGAAGGTTAGTTGGCCTACATATGAGAGAATGGGATCTGCATGGTCAGAGTGCACAGTATACAAAAAAATTGGGGCCCCTGCAGTGCATTGTGGGAATGCTATTTCAATACCTGTTGTTCACCATGCCTCGCGGTCAGAAAAACCTTACTCCTTGCCAAATTGGGAATTTTCTCTTCCCAATTGATATTTCTAACGTGGATAGAAGTGGCAGTGAAAATTAATTTTATGGTTTTGATGAATTGTGATTGAAAGCAATGCTCAGGATACCGGAAATAATGTTGAAAACCCAGACAACCCTCAACTTTCCACCTCTGGGGCTGGTCTGTCTTGTTCATATTCAGTTGTACCATGGCATAAGTGTAAGCTTACATTTTCCCGTGGCCAGGACTCAGATGTGAGCAATAGTGATGATAGTAATATTGACATTTTCTGGCTCTTGATTACCATTCCAGTATCTACACTGAAGAGGAATATTCACCAGTGAAGCATCGGTTTATACAACACTGCATGGGTTCTGGTAGTGTACCATATGATATTCCAAGGGGAAGGAGTACTTCCCAGAGTACATCCCATGGCCCTACACCAGGAGCAGATAGTGAAAGTGAGGATGATATTGTTACAGTTGGGATGGATAATAAACATGCAACAGTAGGTGGTAGTGGTGGTAGTGCTGCCATTCAGCACCAGCAGCACCTCAGGCTGGGAGCAGCCACACTGCTGACTCAACGCATCCACACCCAAGGCCAGCCTCAACCACCCACACACCACAACAACCTGGACAACCACACCCATCACTACCTATCAGTATCCAGTACCCACCAGCAGACTACATCTGGGATTGGAAGCAGGGTGCCCATTTTGTTCCTAATCCCCATCACTTTGATGAAACTCAAAGTGGGATATGGTCATCTCGTTCACTTGGGAACAATGCCGTTGAACTGGAATGTTGTCAGTTATTCTTCGATGAACCCCAGGTGGAAATTATTGTCAGAGAAAGTAACACATACTTCGATTACACCATGGGAAACACAGTTGTTTCACCAAAATCACAACTACACCAGTGGAAGGAGACAGCTGTGGCAGAGATGTATCTGTTCCTTGCCACAATAATGCTTATGCCACTTGTGTATAAGCACAATGTTAAGTCATACTGGTTGACAGACCACCTAATGTCAACCCCAGCTTTCAGTGATATTATGCCACTGAACTAATTTATCCTACTGTTATGTATGCTACTCTTTTCAGACAAAACAAGAACTGACAGAAATGACAGGTTATACAAGATTAGGAATGTGTTAATGTATCTGAAACAAAAGTTTAGTATGTAGTTTTATCCCTTCAGGAAGCTTGTTATTGATGAGTCTTTGATTCTCTTCAAAGGCAGATTGTCATTCAAGCATTATATACCAAGGCTTGAGGAAACAATTTGGTATTAAATTGTTTGTGCTTTGTGACTGTGACAGTGGTCTGGTATTAGACATAATTGTGTACACTGGAAGTAATACACTGGAAGTAATACACTGGAAGATACCAAGAAGTTATTGGGTATCTTGGGTGATGTGGCTAGAACAATGATGGAACCATATCTTGGAAAAGGGGCATAGTATATTATATACTGATAATTGATATTCAAGTCCCTTAGTGATTTCTTACGAGTGAACTTGACAGACGTGTACAGTGTAGTGTGTACATATCATAAGCATATGCCCAAGTTTGACGCAAGCACTCATTAAGGTGAGGTGTAGGCATTTGTTGCCAATGACATAATGGCATTTCAGTGGTATGACAAATGAGATGTCACATTGTTGACATCAATTCACCTAAACAAAATGACAGACACTGGCATCCAGGATAGAGACCAATGAACCCATTGTAAAACCCGCAGTTGTGATGGACTACACCCTCAATGTGCATTTAGTGGACAAATGTTAAATGCAGATTGGGTTTGCCGATTGTGTTCGCAAGAGTTGTAAGTGGTACATGAAACTCTATTTCCATCTTGTGGACATTTCCATGCTTAGTGCTTATAATATGTATAAGTTGAGGACTAGAAACAGACCACCAAATGGCAAATTTTGTTTGTCTGTCAACAGACAAATAATATTTAAGTACCAGGTCAGAACACCTGCAATACAAAACCGCCCTCGAACTGATCACCAAATACCCTCTCGTTTGAGGCTTGGTGATCACTGCCTAATGCAACTTCCTCCTACTAGGAAGAAATGGGCACATAAGAGGTGTTCTGTCTGTACACATACAACAAAATGCCCACAAAGATGCAGAAGAGACACTTGTTTTATGCGTGAGGAGTGTAAAACACCACTGTGCATGACACCATATTTCAAAGAATTCCACAGAGTACAACAGTTCTAGGAATGTGTCCAG